ACAAGCCCAGGAATACAAGGCTAATGCCGTTTGGACGCACGCAATTTTGGCACCGAGCTCATTTTTAAATGCCTAAGTCACCAAATCCGCTAAAAACTTGTATGTAGGGGTAATTTAACATCCTGATTACGAATATGACATTCATTCTTGGCGCTGGCGCTAATGGATGACACTACGATTATCTGCGCTCTGCTAAGGCTGAGCCCAAGGAGGTAATCGTAGTGCCGGCGCCAGCAAGAATGAGTTTCATATTTGTAATTAGGATATTAAACTACCCATGTATACAAGTTTTCAGCGGATTTGGTGCTCTTGGCACTTTATAAATAAGCTCGGTGCTAAAATTGCGTGCATACGGCATTAACCAGAATACGACCCCTCTCTCTCTGACGGCCAAATACGACCCCCCCCTCGCTGGGTATCTCCAAAGTACAATGTTTTCTGATCGGAATATCAATCAGGAATCGGAGGTAGTTCGAAATTTGAAGGTATCGGAGCTGAGTGAGATCGAATCCGGCTTAAATAGGGTCGTAATGAATGATGCTCTGGCTGGGATTATGGATGAAGGAGCATTTTCTCGTCATCGCATGCACTGGATGGGAATGGCTTGAGGAAATGACGGAGTCATGGATGGCGTCATCCCTACTTCGGTCTAGCGCCTCGACAAGTCGTTGATCGAATACGATCCCCGTCGCAGGGGATCCCCAACGTGCAACGTGTTCTGAATGGAATGGCAACTCTTCGGAACTGAAGGTTTAGGAGCTAGATGGGGTCAAACCCATGTTGAATAGGGTCGTACTGAAGAGCTGTAGGCGGGGTTGTGCTGAAGTGTGCAAGATGCTAATCTCCCACTTCCCTCCCGAAATTTATTTCGCTGATACGACTCCCTTTCCTATCCTGCACACTCCTACCATTTATCTATTTTTTCAAGTAACTTCACGAGATTTCCCCGGTAAACTGGTGTCGAGTGGTTCATGCCACACCCATGGGTATATTCCGCCCATAAAACAAGAAATATCGAGGAAAATCAACAACCAAGTCTTGCGCTCCGGGAAAGGTTCTCTCAACAAGGATACGATCCCATACACCAAATGCGACAGCTCTCTCCTTTGAACTTTCCCCAGCAATGCAGTAAATAGAGCGCTCGACACGGAAAAAATTAATCCACTGGGAAATGTCATACGGCAAAATGCGTCCCCCTCCTGGGGTCAATTCTCCGTCATCGCATGCCTTGGATGGGACCGGCTGGAGGAAATGACGGGGTCATGAATGGCGTCATCGCCACTCAGGGCACGTCCTGCCACTGGGGGAGAATTTTTCGGGAAATCGCCCCCTCTAACTCCCCCCTCTGATGCGCTGCCCATATCCTACCAACTACTTTCCTAGATTTCCCCGCTTCCTACCAGTTTTGCTTGGAATTCCTCGAAAATATGCTAGTTTTTCCCCAAAATTTGGCTGTCGAACGGGGGAGGCGCATCGTCAGCGACCAACTACTAGTTTCGACTATCAGAAATAGTAGTTGTATAATCTTTGCATGCCGCCAACTAGAGACCAACAACGAGGAAATCGACCCCCCCCCCCTTATTATAGCTTCTGTAAAATTACAAAAATCAACTATGAAAAGGATTTTCTCCGACCAAATACGACCCCCGCAAGTGCCAACCCCACCCACTGAGGACTCCCCAACGTACGATGTGGTCTGTCTCACTTCGGTTTTGTGCTGACAAGTTGTGAACCTGTTGGAACGTGTTGGTCAAGGTAGCTTAACAGGAGAAGCGCAAGCGTCACCCTGGCCTGGGCTGGCGCGAGCGTCACCCTGGCCTGGGCGCTATCTGCCCAGCAGAACTGGTGCTTCCCGCAGTCTGCATGCCGTCTGTTGTGCTCTGATTCATCACATATATGACAGTCCCAGGGTTGCGCATATTAATGGCACATTTCGCACTTCGACGTCGTGATTTATCTCCGTCACACTTTTCTTTTTTGCTGGCCCTGGGCCACTACTTTTCCTTGTCCGGTCGGTACAACCCAGGCCGAAAAGCGCCTATTTGGGTGCTAGACGGTCGGCCTCATCTTTTCCCCTTTGCTATTGATTTTCTGAAACTTCTATTCGGAAGGTCTGTTTCATTTCGTGCCACTCAATGTGTGCACGATTTCGTTTTCATTGATTACATTCAGATGGTATTGTTTCGAACAATCCGTTTTGTTTTTGGTTGTTCGGGCTCATTCCATCAGTACAGATTCGTCTGGAAGGAGCCAAACGGGAAGCCATTTGCTATGCGCTTGTTTTTCGATGGCGTCTTTGATGCTTTTTGCTTAACAATTCGTCGTTTCGCGGCAGCTGCTCGTGCCAGATTTCATGACCTCCTGTTTTCCAATGCTATCTGCTTGACGGCACATAGTCGCGAATGGCAATGAAGACCGCTGTGAGGGTTGATCTTTTCGGCCCTTTTTCTTGTTACGGTTCACTGGATGTGTTGAAGCAGCTGTACAGCGGCCGACCAGTCTCCTTCCTAATGACCATCCAGTATGCTGCTGTTTTAGCGCTCGTTCGAGCTGCACTTGCAAATGAGATGGCACATTGAGATGATGGACAGAAACCAAACGGACGGCTGGCCTGAATATCGCCAGTTTGGTGGCCCGTGCATCGTCCCATCTGTTTTCACGGGAGCGAAATTCAATAACCTCCTTCCCATACACTGTGTATTACACTGGAAGGTAACTTGAAACGTTCAACCAATGAATACGAGAGAAACACGAGAGGACGAGTTGTGCTGAGTCGTTGTGAGAGTACGAGCAACATGACAGGTGATCTCGTCCGCACGTCCGCACCTGGCGACCGTTTTGTCGCCAATTGGGCTTCGTGCCCGCCCCATGCTGACCTCATCGCTGAAGGCGTTTTGTACTGGATCGATAGCCGACTCCACCCATCAGCTCTCGGGCCACCGTCAGCCAGCCCGTCGGAGTGCACATGCCCTGGGGCGGTGCTGTGACGATCTAGCCGTCGAGCCGTCATTGTTCCTTCACAGCCCACGACTGTGTTCTGCTGCTGTTCCATTCACTTTAGTCTCATCCTCTTTGCGGCCAACAAAAACAATTCTCAATCACCCATCGCGCAATTCACCACCATCAATTAGTAATGAAGCCATGAATGCTTGCGCATCGATTCGCCATCAAACCGACGCCTTCTGGACTGCCAATTCCGCCAATAGCGGATCTCCTCCGATCTCGCAGGGTTTCTTCCTGACCTCATTCGGCAAGTGAGCGTCATCGAGTTCGCCTTTAATGGCTGTTAGGTTGCAAAATGGGTTGGGTTTGTGTTGTGTTTGTGGGTGGTGTGGGTGCGTGAGCAGCGAAAGACAACTTTTGATTGGTGGGGAGAGTTGCGAGGGATATCGATCGCAATGTTGAGGGTCGCCCGCTCCATCCCTACACTCACACTCGCCTCCCATCCAACTCAACAACCATCGGGTGACAAACTCGGTCATCTGATCCGGATCATCATGGCACCGATTCGAAATCCCTTTTTCGCCGCTTCATAAATTCTCTGTTGGGCCCAGTTCCATCACTACCATCGATGATGTCGCTTCCATCCATGGCGCCATCACCACAACATCCCGATTGCTCTCGTTATTTGCTATTCTTCTGGCCGCGATATATCCCAGTTGTTTGCGTGCAACCATCCGAAAATTCTCTCCATTTCTCCCTCAGGGGCTGTAAATCATCGTCTTGCTTTTGTTATGTTTCTGCCTGTGACTTGTTTCGGATTTCTGTTTCCGTTGAAAAGCTATGTTTCTCCATCTGCTTGTACGTTTTGTTCCCGTCGTTGGCTGTTATTGGAGGAAGAGATCGGGCCCGTTGGCAGCTCCGGCCTCGACCGAAAACTGAATTACGCTGTTTAGTGGACGCATGAGGGTGACAATCCGCCATCCGATCCACTTAATTGCTATCCTTGCATAATCTGAACCTTTCGCATTGTTAGCAATCAATTGATGGTCTACTATTACCAAGTTATGGCGACTAATTGGCCCTAAAAGTTGTCTTTCGGAAACCCTTACTATGAAATGTATGTTGTTAGGGCGCAGTTCGACAATGAGGGGGGGGGGGCATTTTGCTTTTTCACTGTTTCACTGGTTCCGCTTCACAAGTCTCACTCTGGTGAAACCTGTGAACTCTTGTGAAGCTGGAGCAAGCTCGTCGAGCCATCATGGTAAAACCTGTCAACTCAAGAAAGGCTCTCTAGATGGGTCGACACGTCGATGGGAAGTAGCAAAAGTGCAATGCCCCCCCCCCGTCGACGAACTGCCGCTGTTGTTAGTAATGCTTTTGGAGGTATTCCGACGAGAATCGCCCGCATTCCTCTACCTATAATTTTTCGTTAAATATTTATATCTGCAACGTTTGCCTAAACGATGTCAAAGGATACGGCTGAGAATGACAGGGCCCTTGATGTTTAGCAAATATTGGCGCTTCTCTCGCCCTTTGAGTGCAATTCTCGGAGTTTGATGATCTGAAGTCGATTTCAATTGCATTTCATCTAGCCTAATTTGATATCTAAGCCTGCGCTGCCTGTTTTTTCTTCCTGGCAGGCAGGCTTACTGGGACAGTCTTCATCAATCAGCATTAAAGACAATTGCTTTCGTCTTTCTTGGAATCGCAGAAGCTTTGGGGACAAGAGACTCGAGCGTTTTTTCTTGTTGTCGTCCCCTCTCATGAATTGTTCTTAGTGCACACGAAAGCCCTCCATTAATTGTGTTTCATTGCTCGCAGCTGGACACATTCACTATCCCAAGCACATCCAACCGCGCATTGATCCCCTCTATGCCACATTTTTCTTCTTTGTTGACTTTCATTTCAACGTTTATTTGAGACATTTTTGAATGACGACTCAGTAATGGCCCTTAATGGCCCTTTTCGTCAATCTTGAAGAGGGTGTTCTGAAAACATTTCAATTTTCGAAGTTCTTGTGAAATTTGGGTGGTGCTAGCGCCCAGTAACATGCTCTAATGACGTCTCGTTTTAGTCCAGACGCACCGGTGAACCGAGTTACGGTAACATCGGATCTTGTTCTACCGGAATCTCCCAGTCCGATATCGCCACCAAACCAAATAGAAGAAATCCGCAGGGTGACTATCAGTCCACCTCTCCATTCAAAGTGAGTTTTTTCTTTCGTTAGAGCCATCTTGGCCTGATGGATGCCCTTCATAGTCGGACTCTCAACGAATAGTTGATTTCTAGAAAAATGGCCGAGCATGAAAATCCATTCCGACCGGAAGAGGTACTGTATCACGAAGTGGATCCGATTGTGGAGCAGTACATGCAGAAACCATTCCCTCCAAGTCGACCAGGAAGTGCTGAGAATACACCTGTAAAGCAACAAAAAGATGGGTAAGCACATTTTCATAAAAATTACTGCGAATTCATAGGAAAAGGTTTATTTTTAGCTCATTATCATCTCCAGCTTACCTACAAAACGGATTATCAAAGGAGCAATTAATGGACAATGAAAAGGCACAGTCACAACCACTTTTGTCATCAGATCAACGACAATCAAGTCCCGAGAAGAGGTTTGTGACTCGTTCAGCCTTGAAGACGGTGTCAGCGATCTATGATGTCAATGAAGAGGACCTGATAGTAAGGCCAGAGCACGCCATCGCGTTGTGATCATTTTCTGAAAATTACGACCCCCTAATTCCATACTAAAATACGACCCCCTTTTGGGAGTTGGTACGACCCCCCCCCTCCCAGCCCTCTGTCCTTCCTCATCGAACCGAGCCGTCGAGCGGGGGGGGGGGGGGGTCGTCAGAATTAAACTATCATTTTCAAGTGTCGGAAATAGTAGTGCGTCCGTGAACTGACCAAATACGACCCCCCCCCCCCTTGTGATGATCACAACGATGGCGTACCCTGAGTAAGGCACATCAATGGCATGATAAAAATTTCACCGAATTTCACCAATCTCCCTCCCTCGCCCAGCTCCCAATATCCCTCAGGTGGCAAGGCACATCACTAATTGGGAATTCCGATCGAGTCCGTACGACTCCTCCCTCCCTTTGTTAGGAGGTAGTACGATCCTCCTCCCCCCTATGTTTCCCTTCTTATCGAGGGGGATATACTCATGAAATAGAAAAAAACGCGAAAAGTCAGCAATCTCTCTCACCAGAAGGCCACAAGTGAAATACGAACTAACCCCCTCCACACCGTCCCTGGAGCAAGAAAAATCAACTATCAAAAAATTTTTTCTCCTAACGACCCCCTCTCCCAGCAGTCGAATACGATCCCGGTTTTGGGATATCCCCAACAATGATGTGCCCTGTCAGGTGGGAGAGAAATCCCACCAGCTATCAGAACAAGAAAGATTTTCGCATCGCTGACCGAACTGGCCATGGGAGGGAGCCCGGAAGGAGGAAAATTGACAGTACTTGTTTATCTCTCACTGTCATATTTTAAAAATCGAGTTCTGATAGAGGTTTTCTCGAGTATCGCTTGGATCCTGTCCCCTAGTTACTGCCCTGTTCAAGAATGTCATGTTTGCATAATTCAGAACCACAATTTGCCAAAAATCACCTCGAGGGTTGTTTGGTACCAGACTGTCTTTCACTGCCTGCTGGCGTCAGCCATTTCGGCTGCAAGCCGACGTGATATGTGCGAAGGGTCAAGCTATTTTTATGGACAAAATTTTGGCGCCGAGCACCCTTGAGGAAAAAGTCCGTCCAGAATATCGTTCGATTCTGCAAGAGTGAGGCAGTGAAGGGCTGATGGCATCAAGCCGACTATCGAAAAAAATTGTCACCATGCAAACTACAACCCTCACTCCTGCGTTAACGACCCCATATGTGTGATGTACCCCGTTTGGTAGTGCACAGCACATAATCGTGCCGGGAGGATTCTGGAAGAATCCCAAATTTTCCTTTCACTACGGACCGTTTCACAACATACCTACCATCTAACCGGATTTTTCCAAAACTTTCTCGCAAAAGAAGGGGATGTAGGCGGGGCACGCAGTCGCTTTGTTCATTTCCTGGAACATACGACCCCCCGTATTCCACCCTCAAATGCGCCCCCCCCCTTTCAATGGTACCTACCGCTTTCCTAGGTTTCCCCAAGTTCCTACCAGTTTCTCCGAAATAATTTCCCAGCTATCGGAAATAGTA